CACAAGGAAGTCCATAATACCTGGATAAAGCTATCCGATAGCATTCCCGTTCATCTCTATGGCAGCTGCTTAGTTTTTGCAGCACCCCGTAACACTACAGTTTTATTTGGTGGTTATGAAGTTAGCAGTTGTAGTTTTTCTCATCCCAATTATTTTTGTATATATATTACGTCGTCCGCTAGGGGTAAGAAGCAATAAGTAAAAGAATACTGAAAAAAACAGGCTTCCACCAGGCAGTCAGACCAAAATAATCGAAAAAACGAAACCAAAGAAGATAAACACCATAAATTATGAACATATTTATTATGATTAAGAGTCATCACCAAAAGTAGATAACAATAAATTAAACCGTATTCATTAGTGGGGACCATTGGCCCAAACAAATAAAAATAATAAAGTAGGCTATAATTAATCTATAGAAAACCGAGTAAAGCAATGAAATCAAAAGAGTGGCATTTTCATCAGAGTGGCAAAAGAGTGACCCAAGGCCCAAAATAACAAACAAAACCCGAATCTAACAGAAATAAAACATAGCTAACCTAACACAAAAGAAAAGAAAATTACAAAAACGCTTCCCTATCTACGCTCTTCACATAAATATAAGAAAATAATATTTCCCCAAACAAAAGAGCAGGTCTCTCCTACATAACCACCCTCTACATAAAACAAACAAAAGGAAACATCACAGAATTTAGGTTTGATTTGATGGTTAGCAGGAAGTCCGCACCACTGCGACCGACCCGAAGCTGGAGTTTTCTTCCACTGGAGTTTTTAACAGGACTGCCAGCTTACCCACCAATTATCGCCGGCAGGGTGTTATCCAATCAACGGTAACCTAAAACCCAAAGAAAAACAAAACATACACAAAAAATACATAAGGAGAGATACACATAACATAACAATATATATATATATATATATATATACTGTATATATATATATATATATATATATATATATATATATATATATATGAAGAGTTCAGATGCAAAAGCCTCTAAATGCCATTTGAAATTTTCTTCTTTAATGATGATTTTTATCAAACTTGTATATTTAAGTTCAGTAATTTCACTTAAATAACAATTAATAGGTAATCTTCATTGCCATTTAAGTGAAATCACTGAACTTAAATATACAAGCTTGATAAAAAAGACCATTCTAGAAGAAAATTTCAAATGGCACTTAGAGGCTTTTGCATCTGAACTCTTCATATATACATATATATACATGTGTGTGTGTGTGTGTATATATGTTATTTGACAGAGTGAAATTCTGTATTCTTTTACAAATTTATATGTGTATATATATATATATATATATATATATATATATATATACATACATATAAATTTGTAAAAGAATACAGAATTTCACTCTGTCAAATAACATTCAGTTCCCATGAGCGTTATATCTTTCAGGAAACCAAATAAACACCCACATCCGTAATTGCCAAATTTTTACAGCATATCCACCCCCTCCTACACGGCCGGGCCATGTACAGAATCAGACATTTTGAGGTAGAGGCCCAAACCAAAAATTACAATAAAATAGGGCAGATCGATGATGATGGACATGGAAGATGGCTCAACCGAATCACGTTCTGCGGTGAGGTTTGGTTTGTTGTGGAGAGAGGCTGAGAGATCCATGTCAGAGGGGCAGGGGCCCCACTGGGCCCACCCACCAGTGCACGTTTTGATGCTCGAGGTACTGTACCTCGGAGGACAAACTTAGCTCTGCCGTAGATTTCAACCAAAACAACATGTATCGCTCTTGTGATTAATAGACGCACATTAGTCGTTAAGAGCGCACCTCCTTGGTTTACATCTGCACATTTAGGGTGTGTATAGAGGAAAATGTTGGTGTCATGAATGAAGCATTTTAAATGATCACATTTCAGAAGAAAATTCATATTTTAAACTGGGTAGGTTATTTTGAGGTATGAAGCTTGCAGTATGTGTTTTATTGCAACCTCTTATATCTGTAAATATCAAGGACATGTTGGTTTTCCATTTCTTGACCCCTTTAAAGAAATTATGACTTTTATTCAGCAAGGATGCATTGCATTGATCAAAAGTGACAGCAAAGACTTTTATGGCCTTTAAGACCAGGTGCTTTCAAGACAGATATAAATTTTTCACTCAGACCACTTCAGGAGGTGGTTTGAGATGTATTCCAAACAATACTGGACAAGCGTAAATACAACTGGTTGTTGAATCCTTTTCACCAAGCATATATATATATTGCACATAGTACTGGAATTGAAGATCGGATTGATATTCAGTATGCAGGTACACATTTATGTGGCTAAGTGTAATTGAAACAGTTTTAACAAATCATATAGGGCCTGTTTACATCTGGTCACTTCATGCGTTTTCTCTGATCAGATGCCTTTCCGATTGTGAAAAGACCAGGTGTGAATGACCTCCGAAGCGCTTTCGAGGCGGATTTAAATCTGATCACTCAAACCACTTCAGGAAGTGGTCTGCAGAGTCTGGAATGCATTCCAGACAAAACTGGACGGATGTAGATGCATCTGGTTGTTGAAACCACATTTGTAGATTTTACTCCTCCCAAAATGTAAAAAAAATAAAAATAAATAAATGTGTGGGAGCGTGTTATATGCTTTATGACATGTTATAGCCAGATATCACGTCACTAACACACTAATTGCGGTGGATCTCTTCAGCAAGCCACTGCGCAAACTGCCGAAAATGAGACAAAGTAAGTTGCAGATGATCAAAACACAATCATCTTCATTAAATGTTGTGAGACTAAATTATCTCACCAGTAGCTGATGATAAATAATTTGCAGCTCATTTCTGTGGCTTTCACTGATATGAACTCTGTTAAATCTACTTATACAGGAATTGAAGATCGAATTTAAATTAGTTTTGCGGAGACATATTTATGTGGGCAAGTGTAAATGGAACCATTTTAACAAATCAGATAGCTATACGATCTGTAAAAACACATTAAATGACCAGGTGTAAACTGGCCCATAGTTATCACAGTAAAAACACAGGAAGTGACCAGGTGTTAATAGGCCCTTACATTATGTTACAAAAATATGTTTCAAATAAATTTCCATTAATCAAAGTGTCCTAAAAATATATATGTATCACATGTTCCTCAAGAATATATGAATTAAAATGTTTCTGAAGGATCATGTGACACTGAAGACTGGAGTAATTATGCTGGAAATTCAGCTTTGTCATCACTGAAATGCATTTCTTTCAAAAATGCATGAGAAAACAGTTGTTTGAATGTATTTCACAGTATACCTGCTTTTACTGTATTTTTGATCAAGTAAATGCAGCCTTGGTGAGCATATGATTTATTTCAAACAAATATATTTTAATTGTATATGATTTGAAATTTACACATGGAAACCTTAAAAATGCCATGTGCCTAATCTATAATATAATGAAATATTTGCCATTTATTTGTTTATTTAATAGGAATCAAGGGTTCAAAAACTGAAAAATAGTTATATTGTTTTGCAGAACATTATTTAAAATTGGAACAAAATCCTTTCAGTTGTTCCAGAGTGAAAACGTCATTTTAAAGCCGATTTACCGGTGAATAACATACTGTATTTTCTGTTCCATTTTTTTTTTCATGAAAACAAATACTTTTCACAGAAATACATCTCCGATTTCCTATTGCCCAAATTCCTGCCATTCATTATTAGCAGCTGTGCTGTGCTAAAATGTTATCCATCACTCATTGGGGTATCAGTCATACTGTCCTGTAGCAAGTTCACGCATTCATAGGTCTTTAAATTTTCTGCTTTATCTCTCTGTTCTTGACTTTCAAGCACAGAAATAAACTGTGTTAGACCTGGCATGAATGAATTTTTATTTCAGTTGTCATGTCACACCTCTCTTTCACCCCTCAGTACATTCGCTTTGAAAAGCAAAGCCACAATGAAAAATGAATGAAAAATGAATATGCTTTCTCTAATCCAAAAAATTGTGGCAAAAGATTACAAGCAATATTATTAATTAAATTTAACAAATTAGAATTGAGTAATAATTAATCAAATTAATTCCTTAAAAGTTAACCATTTAAAATGAGTAAAACTTAAAACAACATCCAAGTAAACATACATTTAAATCACCATTATGGTGATCAGTGTTTGTTTGGGGTTTGTTTTAAAATGATGGATTTCTCCTTCAGTGATTCTGCTTGTTAACGTCAGGTGTCTTCAATGTTGGCAATATAAAATAAAGAGTTTAACTTTACTCATTTTAAATGGTTAATTTTTTAGGAATAATTTGATTAATTATTACTCAATTCTAATTTGTTGAGTTTAATTAATATTATTGCTTGTAATCTATTGTCACAATTATATTGATTAGATAAAGCATATGCATTTTTGCAGTGAACTCATTCAAAACATTTGTCTTTCAGGCCAAATATGAAAATCTGGAATTTTCCAAAGGATGAGTTGTTATTGAAACATTTACATCATTTGTTTTTCCATCATAGACTTTCAAAGACACTTTTTTCCCCCTTTAAATTTTGTTCTTCCATCATGAACTTTCTAATTCGCTGTTTTAAATAGGGCTGCCTGTCACTGCCAGTTTAAAAATCCAGTGCTGCGTCTCGATAAAGACAGATGCACAAGTACACAGATGGTTCTTTGTGTGCCACTAATGAGCAATTAATGATTTTTTACTTTCCCTTTCATATGCGCTGTTCTCTAACGCACAGTCAATTTTGGCCTCAAGAGAAGCAGAAAGTCTGGCTCTTATTTCTCACCATTAGTGCACATTTTGTCCAATTTATTTTCTCTAGGCATAATTCCTGGCTGAAGATGATTTCGGGAGCAGAGTTGCTGTTAAATTTTGTGATACGAGCAGGGGTGAATGTAGTGCTGGCCATGTTTAACAGTGTTGTGATGTGTGGATTAGATATGGACACTTCAATTGTCTTATCTGATATATGGGACAAAGTTATGATTCCTTTTCTCTGTCTCTATCTCTTTCTCTCTGCAGTTCTGAGTGGCCTTTGTTCCAATAACTGTCCAGAAAAAGTTAAGGTGAGTTCTAATATTTTCTTCTCTTTCATGCAAGACACTCTACTCGAGTGGCAATGGCATGTGCGTAGTATCACCAGGCCAACATTCAGTGTATTCCTGCTGATTTCGGAAGAAATCAAACTAATTCTATCACAATGCTCTCCACATTCCCTGCCGCTTTAATGCATTTTGCCCATTTAATAAGCTTTTTAAGTTAAAGTTTTTAAGTTGAAATAAGTTAAATGTGCTGTGAACAACTTATAACACTATAAGACTTTATTTTTCCTCCAAAGCAAAACAGAAATTGTAATAAAAGTTAGCAAAATCTTAGGCATATATGGTAGTTAGTGTTTGTCTGAAGTGGCTGATGTTTGATATATACAGTAATATTTAAATTTTGGAGTCAGTATGGGTTGTTATTTTTAGGTTATTTTTTGTTGTTACTGTTGTTCTTTTCTTTAAGAAATTGGTTCTCGTCAAAAGTGACAGTAAATACTTTTATAATGTTACAAAAGATTTCTAATTCAAATCAATGGCATTCTTTTGAACTTTCCATTAATCAATTAATCCTGAATAAAATATATATCTTGGTTTCCACAAAAATATTTAGCAGCACATATGTCAGAGACAGGTTGCAATGATGATGGCACAATGATGAAGAATAGAAACGAAACATTCTTTAATAATAATAACTCGAAACACACAGAAAAACACGGGGAGAAATACATAAATAGCAACAACATAAATCATTGACAACAAACCGTATACTGAGAAAACTGAGGGCTTAAATACACACAGATTTATCAACGGAACTAAGAATATATGTGTGAAACTACTGAGTAACTATGGAAACTAACTAGCAGGCAAACCAGAACAGAATGAAAACAAAACCAAAACACAGAGTTATATACTCCTGACAACTGTTAATAAGCAAATTACAATAATTTCTGAAGGATCACTGAAGACTGGAGTAATGATGCTGAAAAGCTTTGCCATCACTGGAATAAATTATGTTTTTTTGTTTTTGTTTTTTTTTATATATTCAAATAGAAAAAAGTTCATTTAAATTTTAATAGTATTTCACAATATTACTATTTATTGTATTTTTTGATCAAATGAATGTAGTCTTGGTGAGCATGAAGAGAAAGTCAAGTCACCTTTATTTAAAAAAGCTTTAGATAAAAAAAAGATGCTTTATAGAGATAATAGAGATGTTTCTAAAAGAAAATAGTATCGTCCATCTTAAGTAAAGCAGATCAATAGTATTGTTGAATATTAAATTAAGTCCCCAACTAAGTAAGCCAAAAGCCAAGGCGACAGTGCCAAGGAACCAAAACTCCCATCAGGAGACAGAATGGAGAAAAAAAACCTTGGGAGAACCCAGGCTCAGTCGGGGGGCAGGTTCTCCTCTGGCCAACGAACGCTCTGTGTATGATTATATCTAGGCAGCATTACAGGACAGAAGTCTGATTGGATCAGAATTAGGGGTGTCACCATATACCGGTGTTGACGATGATATTCAAAGCATGAAATATCGACATTGTGGTAATTTAGAGTGTGGCAATATACTGGTATTGGCGATAACCACAATGTTTAAAAGGAATAGGACTGTTATGATAACATGACACGTAAATACTCCAGCGTGAGTACCTGGTTGGGTGACACCTATCAAAGAAAACGACGAAGCCCGGGCCGTGCAGCTACTCTGAGAAGAATGTCGTCTAAGCGAGAGAGTGAAACCCAAAAAACCACACCTGAAAAAATTAAGCTCGCCTGTATGGGAGTTCTTCAGCTCAAAAGAAGCACTTTAAAGGGGGTAAACACAGCTCCATGTCTTTAAAATTCGTACACATTTTCTCTTCAAAAGTACACACACCTATTGCGCCATTCTGCGTCTGTCCGCAGCGGCCAGCAACGGCTCTTGTTCAAAATCCTGCCGGGACACAGAGTGCATTTTACATAGTTTTATATTAAATTCACATTATATTTGTCTCAAATCATCATAAATGACTTCACCCTGTGCTGCAATGTACATTTAGTTTTACATTAATTTACAGAAATCTGCAGTTTGAATGAAAATTGCTGATATTATTGGATTTTCCGGTTCATTCAGTTAATGGATGCTCTGAGGTAAAGTGTTCAGATCACAGACTCAGCAACTATTGTATTTAATTGTACAGTACAATCATAACATAATATATACAGACATTATCTTAATTTCACAATGTCTTAAACATAAGAATACTGCTGGCCATAAATTAAAAAGTTTGCATCCGGTGTGCAATACCTGAGTTGTCCTACATGCGGCGCTGTACAGTGTGTAGCCACCAACCTTTTTACCCATCTCCGAGTCCCGTCCTGCCCCACCCCAACCATCTTCCTTTTGGCCACAATAACCATGGTGTAGAAATTCTAACATCATGACAGCCCTAATCAGAATATTTATCCAGTTCCACTTGTTGGAAGTCGGAATCATCACGCCAGTATGGAGACGAGTTTGTTGAAGATCAGTGCGAATGAGTCGATGAGAAAGAAAGAAACTTCTTTCAAAAAAATCTTACTCACCCTGAACCATCACATCACACTATTACTTTTTAAAATGTGTGATATTATAAAAAAAAATTGATTTGGTGTTTACAAAAGCAATTGAAAGAAATTTTAGTAGTCAATACATATGCGTTCTAGAAGTGTCAAAATAATATGATCACTTCTGGCATTAATCTGCCAAGCAAGAAAACTTTGTCCGATGTGAAAATAAAAATAATGCCAAATATTGGCTAAAAAAACATTAACAATATCTAAGTTGACCACTGAATGTAGGTATTTCTTAGTATTTCTGGATTTTGATTGTCTGTGAGTTCTGTCTCATTATCTTTTCTCCTTTGACTTTGTTGACTAGCTGTTGTGGTCGAAGACACGTGTGACACAAAGCTGTCCTCATTCTGACGAGAAGACAGGCTTTTAGGCTCTCTCTCTCTCTCTCTCTCTCTCTCTCTCTGTCGCTTCTACTGTCTCTCCAGTTGTCTAGGAGGGCTTCTGTACTTTGCTTCTTTTTCATATTCACAAATTCTTCTTTCTTTTTTCTGGCCGTCTCTCTTTTATCAGTCCATCCTTCACCCTCTTCTGCCATCTACATCTATTTTCTACACTCTTCTTTACTTTTCACCATTATCTGTAGATTGAATGCTAAAAGATCGGCTTTGGCTGCATCTGAAATCACGTACTCATTCACTCAATCACTGTTCTCAGTAGAATGCCACATAATGCAGATAGTTGAAAGGAGTGAAAAAGGAGTGGAAATATCAGTCTTATTCTATACATCAGAGTGCACTATGAGTATAAAAGAGTAGACAAATCAGTTGCTCTTTACTCGAACAACAGAATGGCTGACACCATATATAGTACACAATTCATAGAATACAGAGCAATTTCTGACAGAGTTTATTAGACAGGGAAAGATGTTACTGAGGTGTGTGTACTTGGCACTTGGCAGGGTCTCAAAGCAATTCATTACTCTGTTAATACATGAGCGACACACACACACAGTCAAAGACCTTTGTTCGTTTACTGTCATCCTTCATAATGAAGAGATAATGCATTTTCTGCCCAGCCATTCATCCTCTTCTTTAGACATGCACAAACACATACAGATGACGTCACGTGTGTTATCTAACTTGGTGATATGCCGAGTTCAGACAGTTTGCCCGGAGGGCAGTGGATAGCAGAGGGCTCTATGATTAAATAAGAGCTCTTTAAGATGGGCCGCACTCTTGTCTCGCTCCGACTGGACCCCTGACATACATGTTATACAGTCCCACGCTGAATTAATATTCAGATGCTGAAACGGGGACGTTAGTTGTAGAAGTGTATTGTTCAGATGATTTCATGTGTTCTGGATCATAGCATTTTTGCATTTGTCCTATTTTTGCAGTGTTGCATCCTAAACACCCTGCCTGGTTACAGTCAGAGTAAATCACATACTGTTGGTTACAGTCAGCATAAAATGAAAATTCACTGTTCACCTATTTACATTTAAATTTTCATTTTAGATATTTAAATGCATGTTTTACATCTCATTGTGAGCAATTCATTAAGCTCGTTGTTTAATCAAAATGAAAACAACAGTCTTCTCTCTGGTGACGTATGCAGGACACCAATAATTTAGCATGTTAAAACACACCCCTGCAAACTCGCGTTCATCTACCTCCACTTTTGAGTCCTCATCCTACATTATAGAAGTAACAGATAATAGTCACAATACAGGAAAAAATATGTTGCTATTTACATTTCATCACCGTTTTAAAAGGGCAGTGTGCAAATTCTGTGCATCTGGTGGAATTGCAAAAATAATGACTTTTTCCCTAAAAATGTGTCTCCCCCTAGGAAGTAGGCAATTTGAAATCTTCCATTTTTTTCTCATCAGCATATTATAAACTATTAACTTTATGATGCAAAGGATCGTGTTAGTGAATTTGGAGGCTTTGATGCATAACCTGCTGCATTTTCTCTCTTTGTTCGAGTTCCTGGAGGCATATACACTACTCTTCAAAAGTTGGGGATTAATGTAAATCCAGCCATTTCTCCAGTCTTCAGTGTCACATGAGCCTTCAGAAATCTTTATAATATGGTGATTTGGTGCTCAAGAATCAATGTTGAAAATAGGATTGCTGCTTCATATTTTTATAGTAACCATAATAAATTTTTTTCACGTTTCTTTGAGGAACAGAATAGTATTCATTTGAACTTTTATAACATCATAAATGTCTTTACCTTCACTTTTGATCGATTTAAAGTGTCCTTGCTGAATTAAATATTTAAAAAATCTTACTGACCCTGAACTTTAAAATGGTAGTGTATGTACATTGCAGTTGTACTTGAATCTGCACCAAAACAATCAAGAAAAAAAAAAAAAAAAAACCTCAAGAGTGTTTTTACTTCTGGTGAGAATGCAGTTCAACCCAGTGGTCCAAAGAACCAACTATTATCCTTCACTGTAACCTGTATATACTGTTATGGTAAATGTTATATATAAATCGTACATTTTTTCACAAATTTTTGGAAATTACCACCACAAAATCTTTCATTTTGATCGCAAAAATCACAAAAAAAAAATCGTGAAATCCTGGAGGGACTGTATTGAAAGCCATGAGCTTATCTGATGAGTTTGATTCTTATTCAAAATGTTTTTTCTTCTGAAAAATGCTTCTTCGGTGAAAAAGATGCATGACAGTATTGTATGACAATTATTAAATCCCACTCAAAATGATACATAGAAATAATGGTGAGAATACAATGAAATATTTGCCATTTTTTTCTTTTTCTTGCAAAATAATGCCATGGGGGGTTCTTTGTTTAAAGTCTTTTTGAAATATTCGGCCCACAGTTGCAGTCACTCACTGAGGTGTTTGTTATTCCCCATTCATTTCTTGTGACGTTTTCGTTTATCTACTTTTAACTGCCTCTCGCCTCTCTGCTGTCTTAGGCATCACTTTGTTTCCTCTGATGCTTTATCTTCCCACGTTTACATTGTTTCTCTGTGTTCTCTGACTTGCTCAATCTCATCTTTTGTCGCTTGCTGTCTGGTGGTTTTATTAGCGAGATCATGGATTATCCACCTGTCCTTGTATGGTTGCTATAGACCAAGGCTCTCCAGTTGTTTACTATGCTTCAGCCAATCTGAAGAGTTTAATGGAGGTTATTTTTTGCTCTAACTGGCTTCTGAATTTGCAGACATTGTGTTTGACATTCTTGTCTGGGTTAAATGCTATCTACCTGTGTGAATTAAAGCTTTGCTTCTTCAGTTCACCAGTATGAAAATCTTGATAATAGGTGCTCTGTAAGCTCTGCTACATACAACCTCCATTGCTGAAGGGGCGGATTTGGGATGTTGTAGATTTTCAGGTTTAGATTTAAAAGTAGAGTAAATGTGCAGTTACTAGAAAAGGTCACACATGCAAGAGATACAGTCACATTGTGTGATACACTACCATTCAAAATGTTGGTGTGCATATTTCAGAATATCCTTTTATTAAAAATTATATAAAATACATATTTTTATAGAAATATGCATAAAGGCTTCACTAAATTGATCCAAAGTGACAGTAAAGAGAGATTTATAATGTTACTAATTTTGGTACAATGATACTATGTAATTTCAGATAAATGCTAATAATTTGCTAGCCAATTTTCCCTATGACATAATAGTAGGATTTAGTAGGATGGAGTAGGATTTCAGGTCCAAAGAAATGTGTGGGACTTCAGTGCTCACCAAAACAATCAAGGAAAAAAAAAACGCCTCAAGGAGTGTTTGCTTCTGGTGAGAATGCTGTCCAACCCAGCGGTCCAAAGAACCAACTAATATCCTTCACTGTAACCCATAGTTGAAACCCGATAGTCGAAACCCAAAGTTTATTACCCATTATAAACTTGGCGATGGAGTAGGATTTCAGGTCCAAAGAAATGTGTGGGACTTCAGGGCTCACTGACGTCAGATTCTCTGGCTGTGTACTTTGCCCTCACTGTTGTGTTTGACTGAACGATGTTCATCTGTATCTGATGCTGCCAGGTCATCCTCTCCCTCATTATGTCAGTTTGGCAGTAGGTGACGAAGAGCTTCTGCTCCAGGATTGTCCCATTTCCTGTCAACATTGTCCATTGGTTGGATTCATCAGCTACAGGGGAACATAATTTTCAACAAGGGAATCATTTCACCCCTCCCCACTCATAATCATGCCTCACAAATAAATCTGTTTAAAAATGTATGCCCACTTGTTCCTGGCATGCTGTTCATTTGCAGTTCCCAGGGTTATTGTCTGCGCAGAGAGAAGTATCCATAATTGAGAAACTGGCATATTAGCAGGTCTGCCCCATCTCCCCGGCGCTGAGCCAGTGTTGGCCACTCGTTACTGCTGGCTGTCGATAGACATCTCTCATGTGTCTCAGTATTTGTAGGAGACTGGAGCTGGGCCTGTGTAACCTGTGATGATATTTGTGGACTTAACTGAAAACACACACACACACACACTTGCAAACAAGCAGTCAGGGTCATTCTAATTATCATCTATATCATCAGAATAGCTCCAATGTGCAGGTTTTTAGTGTCCTGCTGGAAACAAGTTCAAATTTACAACTGCAATGAGCCTTTCCAAGGAAGGTCTTATTGTTATGATCTTATATCTGGGGCTTATGCTGTGTTCCAGGCAGGTTTTTGAGCACGTAAATCACGACTTCAAACCACGTCTCACGACTTTGTAGCATTCCAGGCCAGTCACGCCAACAAACCAGCATGGCGGACCTTACGGGACTTATGCGCATTTGTAATAATTTCTGTCGCCAAAGGTGCTTACTCTTTGTTTATTTCAGGGAAACTAAGGAGGAAAAACAGCGCATAAGGCAAGATAAGCTGTTATACCTTTTATTTGACTATATGTAAATATTGGTATTATTTTATCCTTGCACTCAATGAACTGAAAACTAGTTAACATTATATTGTCCTAAAGTGTGAAACACTGTATCCGCAAGAGCTTCCATTGTTGTTTTGTATGGTTTCGCAGGCTATGTGACATCAGAACTCGTAACTGGGAGTACATCGATCTAGTATGAGTTCACGGGTGGGAAGTCACAGGTTTCACTGCCGTTACAGTGCACTTTCACGGGTATAAGGTTGGAAAAACACGGGTTACAGGTTGCCTGGAACGCGGCATTAATCTCAAGGTCTTGTGCAGGGTATGTGAGCGGAGTTGAGTGGGAGCGGTGTAATTTTGAATGGAGTGCGGAGCGGATTTTTTTAAAAGTCGGAGCGTCGTGGTTTTCACTCGCTTCGAGAGCGCTCCACTACCTCTCCATCACGAGAACAATTTTGCCAACGGAATAATTCACAGCTGAAAGAGTTACTCCGCTTCGCGTCGTCCCTAACAACGCCCTTCAGCTGTTACTTAGTCATGATACAGCACTGCCTCTCCTACCTTATTGCTTACATAAAAAGTAGTTTTCTGATTAAAATTCCTTTTGCAAATTGTTTGTGTTTTGTGTTTATTGTTAATCACTTCTATCCATCCCACAGCCCTTCGGCGTGAACCAGCCTGGCCCGTATGTCATGTACACATCGGTGGACTCGAACGGTTATCTAAAGAACGCTTCGGGTGAGTGCACGGCTCAGAAAAGATTAGCACTTTTTTAACATCACACATATCTCTTTGCCCAGCATATCCTGCTTCAGGTAGGTAAGATAACAATCAACCTCAACACACTGCAGTCATCCATCCTGACTAGTTCCATTTCTTTTGAAGGATCAGACTAAACTAGACTAGGATGATTTTGAATAAACCAATAAAAACTTTTCTTGGCCACACTTAATTCTGGTGTAGATTTCGAAAATCTGTCCTGGCATGGTACATTGTGTGAAGGACGCACAATTTTGCTTTAGAGAACTTTTTTTTCTCTTTAAAAAAAATATCATTCACGTTTGTTAGTAAAAAATCATATATACAGTATATGAAGAGTTCAGATGCAAAAGCCTCTAAATGCCATTTGAAATTTTCTTCTAAAATGACCATTTTTATCAAGCTTGTATATTTAAGTTCAGTAATTTCACTTAAATGACAATTAATAGGTAATCTTCATTGCCATTTAAGTGAAATTACTGAACTTAAATATACAAGCTTGATAAAAATGATCATTTTAGAAGAAAATTTCAAATGGCACTTAGAGGCTTTTGCATCTGAACTCTTCATATATATATATATATATATATGGGGCTGTTTACACCTGGCCACTTCATGCGTTTTCTCAGATCGGATAGCTATCTGATTTATCAAAACGATTCCATTTACATCTGGTCACATAAATGTGTTTTTGCGAAACGGATATAAATCCGATCTTCAATTCACACGCTATATGCAGATTTAAGTGCACGTCACCGAAAGCAACAGATATGAGCCGAATTTTATTGGTCATCGGCTAATTTCAAAATCAGCAAAGACCGCAATAAGAGAGGGCGGCAACAAAACTGGTAAGATCATTTCGTTTCTTTACTTTTAATGGAGATGGTAGTGTTAAGCGTCTGCGACTTACTTTCACTTTGATTTGCGATAGATTGCGGCACGTTGGCTTGATGAATAGACGCTCAGCTGCTCATCTGAGGTGATGCGTGTCGCAGTAGCGTCGTCATATCTGACGAATAACATAGCCTATTTATAACACGCTCTCACGCGTTTATTGTTTATCATTTTTGGGAGTAGTAAAATTTAAATATGTTGTTTTAACAACCAGATGCATTTACACGTGTCCAGTTTTGTCTGGAATGCGGCCCAGACCACCTCTCAATGTGGTTTGAGCGATCGGATTCAAATCCGTCTCAAATGCATTTCGGGGGGTATTTACACCTGGTCTTTTCGCGATCGGATAGCTATCCAATCACAGAAAACGCATGAAGTGGCCAGGTGTAAACGGCCCCTATAATATGTATATATATAATTTGTTTGTTTGTTTATATGGAAATGAGGAATTACATACATTTGTTTCTAGCAACAATTTGAGATTGGATTGCACAAAAACAATGAATGCAGTCAGTATAGAGAACATTGTTCAAAATGAAAGTTATCATATATTATTTATGATTTTCTGATTGCTTTTTTGTATTATTCATTATAACATAGCTACCTTTTAGATTAAATCATTTATTTAGATATGTTGCATTAAATTAATTGTTATATTCAGAGCCAATTTTCTCTCATGTAGTAGTTCAATTACAGCAGTATGACAAGGCAAATGTCTTTGATTCAATTCTATCCATTATATACAAGAGAATTTAAACAAACATCAAAGTACATCAAAGACTGGAGCAACCTAGAGATTCTGCCACAAAGCACACATCAGTTTGACAGTCGAGTTGTCTTGCTTCTTGATTGCTTAGTATTTCATATATGAGTGTCTCTCGTATGTTGTTTTGGCCCTCAAGGATATCTGATTGACCAAGTTCAAGATCAGAGACGGGGCAACAAATGACCTCGTTCCACCTTTCTAAGAGCAGATAAGAATAAATTCCTTGGGGCATTGACAGAACTCACATCACTTTGGTGTCACGGACTGTGTTTCTCAAGTCTCTTTTGAATACATCACTGACCTTGACCTCTCAGTGGAGGCATTAGATAAACAGAATGAATGTTTCTTATGTTGTGTGTGTGTGTGTGTGTGTGGACTGTGCTGAAGATCCACCGCAGAACAGAGAGCAGGATGTGACAGAGCTATTTCAAAGATAAATGACTAAATGGCTTAAAGGACAAAAATTATCCTCAGATAACTGGAAATAATGGATTTTTGGGGATTTTTGTGCTCCATTGCTTGTAGAAGAAACTATATATTTTTTTCTTTTTTAAATGGAATTATGTTCTGCTTTTAAGGGCCGGACCAGAGTTTCTGAACTTGCCTTTGAGTCTGTCCAATGAAATCACTTCCTCTTTGAGTAATCCTTCACTAGCCAGCAAAGCACACGAATTTCTGTTATCTTAAATATTTCAACTCTCTCATTGTTCTCTTTTTCTTTGTTCTTTCCTCTCTACTGTGAAGAGATATTCATAATGAATACAAGACACGTCTATAAGCAGACAGCGCATTTATAATGTTTTAAATTGTTATAAAAATAAAAAGTTAAATTGTATATTCAGACATACTGGTCTATAATGCAAATGTCACAGTAATAATGTTCTTGGTTTGTAGTTACCTCTGCTGAAGCAGAATACAAATGAGCAGAGATGTTTGGTCACTTTTGCTTCTTAATAGTCTGATAGAATTTCTATATTAATATCTTGTTTCACCTGCTGTGTGCCAGACTTGTTTTTATATTATTGCTTGTTTCAACCTGTCTGTTTGTCCATCAGAAATTTGCCAGGATAGTTAAAGGGTTAGTTCACCCAAAAATGAAAATTAAGTCATTAATTACTCACCCCCATGCTGTACAAACCCCGTAAGACCTTCGTTCGTCTTCGGAACACAAATGAAGATATTTTTGATGAAATTTGAGAGCTGTCTCACTACCACATTGGCTGCCTAAGGGACTGGCTCTTGACGGCCCAGAAAGTCAATGAAGAAAATGTTTAAATAACCCATGTGACTACCGTGGCTCAACTATAAGTTTATCAAGCGACGAGAATACTTTTTGTGCGAACAAACAAACAAAAATAACGACTTTATTCGACTATTCCTTTTCTTCCTTGTTGGCCTGAAACGAGACTTTCTTAGATTTCCACGACGCATGCGCGAGAACTGAACTGAAGTAGATGAAGGAGATCGCAATTCTCGCGCATGCGTCGTGGAAATCTAAGGAAGTCTCGTTTCAGGCCAACAAGGAAGAAAAGGAATAGTCGAATAAAGTCGTTATTTTTGTTTGTTTGTTCGCACAAAAAGTATTCTCGTCGCTTGATAAACTTATAGTTGAGCCACGGTAGTCACATGGGTTATTTAAACATTTTCTTCATTGACTTTCTGGGCCGTCAAGAGCCAGTCCCTTAAGCAGCCAATGTGGTAGTGATCCAGCTCTCAAATTTAATCAAAAATATCTTCATTTGTGTTCCAAAGACGAACGAAGGTCTTACGGGGTTTGTACAGCATGGGGGTGAGTAATTAATGACTTAATTTTTGGGTGAACTAACCCTTTAATCATCTAATAAAGTCATATAGAGAGCTGTCTGTCTGTCTGTCTATCTATCTATTCTATTCTATTTGTCTGTTTGTCTATCTTTTTCACATTTTTTTCTGTTGTTCTATCTATCTATCGATCGTCTGTCTGTCTGCTGTGTTCTGTCTGTCGTTCTGTCTATCTTTATGTTTGTCTTATCATTCTATCTGTCATTCTATCTATCGTCTTTTTGTTCTGTCATTTTTTCGTTCTATTTTTTGTTATATCACTCTGTCTGTATGTTTGTCTGTCTAGCTGTCTATATATATTTATTTATCGCTCTAGCACTCTATCATTCTATCTGTCTATCCTCCACACACGCTTTACTGTGTGAACAGTTGAGGAGCGACAGAATTGATGGCACCTCCCAAAGAAAACACAGAGGAACAGATAAATAAAAGCAATCACAGTTCCGGCACAGAAAGTGTAAGTAGAGCTTAGTGACACTGTGGCCCATCGTCCCTCCTTGCTCTGCAGCTGAACTTCTAACTACAGTTCTGTGATCAATGTCCTGCTGTAATTGGAGAGATTGAGGCAGGGTGTCTGGGGTCAGCTGAAGGACAGTCATGGGGTGTATGTCGTACGGGGAGTGGAGAACAGGCCAGGTTGTATTAGGGCCCTTATTCCCTCAGGCTCTCATTGGCCAGTAATGAAACACAGCTCAGCAAGACTTATTGCACATTTAGACTCGAGTCCAGGACATGGGGACGGCGGTATTTCTGCTGCTGTCTGCACTCGCTCACTCTCTCTCTCTCCCTCTCTCTCCCTCTCTCTCTCTATTTGAGGACAAAGTAACTGAGGACAAAGTAATTAACTGAAGTAACCACAGATGCCGTGAAGGCAACACTGAATGCATTGTCCTGAAAAAAAAAACATCCTTTGGAAGTTAGTTTAACTGGAACATTGAATTCAACTTTTAAATCAGCTTGATCTCCCAACGAGTTTACATTTACATTTATTCATTTAGCTGATGCTTTTACCCAAAGCGACATACAATTGCTATATATGTCAGAGGTCGCATGCCTCTGGAGCAACTAGGGGTTAAGTGTCTTGCTCAGGGACACATTGGTGTCTTACGGTGGATTTGAATCCAGGTCTCTCACCAAAGGCATGTGTCTTATCCACTGCGCCATCACCACCCCAGCAAGAGTTTTCTTGCTATTAAATGATCTCAACAGAACCCAGTCGACTAAACCAATCAAATTATACTGTGTTTTCTCAATTGGCTTAATTTAGGAGCAACCTCCAGCTTCTAAGCAAACATCTCTTCCAGCAAGAAATATTCTTTAGACCAATTACGAGTTGATTAGAATTGTGACTGTGACAACCTATGAAGAATTCATGTAGGTAGATTTGCATGTGAAGGGGGGTGGGGTTGGGGGCATCCTCTCAAGTCATGTCTGAGGATGATGAAGTACTTCAGAGGGTTGTGTTTTCATGCTTGTTTAATTGGACTGACCCTTGCAG